CAGATGACCCCAGCTAGATGCTTATCTAACCTCCTCTTGAAGACCCAAAGAGGAGGTGCTCGGGTGAACAGGGTCTCTCCCATTCCCCGCTGGTTCCCCCGGTAAGTTTTTATAGACGGCCACCAGGTCCCCTCTCAGCCTTCTCTTGTGAAGGCTGAACAGGTTCAGGTCCCGTAGCCTCTCTTCATAGGGTCTGTCCTGCTGTGACTGGCCCTCCTCTGGACCCTTTCGATGCTGGTCACATCCCTCCTATAGTGCGGCGCCCAGAACTGGACACAGTACTTCAACCGTGGCCTGACCAGTGTTGCACAGAAGGGGAGGATCACCTCCTTGGCCCTGCTTGTGATGCATCTGTGGATGCATGACAACGTGCGGTTGGCCTTACTGACCACATCCCCCTGTGTTCATTTTGGAATCGATAATGACTCCAAGATCTCTTTCTGCCACCGTGCTCTCAAGAGGGGAGTTTCCCAGCCTATAGGTATGCTGCTGGTTCTTACTGCCCAAGTGCAGTACCCTGCACTTGTTAGTATTGAATCCCATCCTATTCTCATTCACCCACCCCGTAAGCTGTCCAAGTCCAGCTGTATCCTGTCCCTCCCTTCTAGTGTGCCCACCTTGCCCCAAATCTTGGTGTCATCAGTGAATTTGAACAGGGTGCTTTTCACCCCCTTGTCCAAGTCGCTAATAAAGAGATTGAACAGTGCGGGCCCGAGGACCGAACCCTGGGGGACTCCACTGCCCACATCCCTCCAGGTCGAATATGACCCGTCCACCACCACTCTCTGGGTGCAGCCCCTCAGCCAATGTGCGACCTGTCTGACTGTAGGCATCAGTGCCATAGTTGCCTAGCTTTTTAATGAGAATGGGGTGGGAGACGGTGTCAAAGGCCTTCCTAAAGTCCAGAAAGACTACATTCACTGCAACACCTGTGTCCAATGATTTTGTGACTTGATCATAGAAAGCAATCAGGTTGGTCTGACAAGACCTGCCCCTAATGAACCCATGCTGGTTGCCCCTGAACATCGTCCCCCCTGCTGGTCCTTCCCAGATGTGCTCCTGGATAATCTTCTCAAAGAGCTTCCCCAGGATCGAAGTAAGACTAACGGGCCTATAGTTGCCCAGGTCCTCTATCCTCCCATTTTTGAAAATGGGGACCACGCTGGCCTTCTTCCAGTCTTCTGGCACCTGACCAGCGCACCACGAGTGCTCGTAAAGCCGTGCCAGGGGCCCCTCAATAACCCCTGCCAATTCCCTCAGAACCCTGGGGTGGGGAGCATCTGGACCTGCTGATTTGAACATGTCCAGCCCCTCCAGAAGTTCCTTAACTCGGTCCTCCCTGACCCTAGGCCTGGCGGAGTCTCTCCTGAGCCCATCCTGAATCTTGGTAGGGGAGTCCTGGTCCCTGTACAAAAAAATCAAAAGTGAATGTGTGTTCATTTGCTTACTGGTTCAATTTCTCCAGCTTAGACTAACCTGCAAAAACTGAATCGATTCAGTCTTGGGCTTTTTGACTATCTGTACTTCCCCTTGGAAAGCAGTTTGCGTACTAAACTTCTGTTGTTGCAGATTTGAACTGGTTTCCGATCACATATACCAGTTTGTGTAATGTCTGTCCCTAGCCTATACATTGCTTCCTCTTTCTCCAGTTGTTCATATGCCTTCTAAACTGCCAATAACACTAAAAATGCCTCCTACGTATCTATTGTAGTAGCACCTTTAACTTCTCAAAACAATGGATTTGGAATAGCAGCGAACTGAAGTATTTGTTTTTAGTCTTTGAATCCTATCTTGTAAAATCTATTCAGATGAAATTTCAGGAAGGAATTTGACACTGCTTTATCTACCCAGATGATTTCTGTGAGTACCTGACTCTTTGGTAGACTCTAATGCAAACTTTGTGAATGCAGTAAATATAGCGAAACAGTATGGAGGCCTAAATAGATAAAAGATCCCCCCACCCATAAGGAATTTTGAAGTACTGAAATGGAGCAAAATGGATATAGTAGGTAATTGTTTAATTTTTTCCAGTAATTTTAATGGGTTTGATGCATTTGCCCCTCCTCATCCATCACCTGGAGCAGGATAACTCCAAATGAAATGATTCAGCTGATTCAGGAATTAATGTTCTTTCTATGCTGTGGACTGGAATGACCCAGATTGGGTCAGAGGCCAGTGGGCTGGTGCTGGTGGTGCCACTTCTCCTCACTGGCGGGGTGGGGAGGCCTGAGGAAGCGCCTACTGCCTCTCTACCACAGCAGAGGGGAAAGTGCCCATCGCTGCCACTTCTCCCTGCTGTGGCACAGGGAGACTAACTGTTTTAGAGAGCCATGACTTTCTGTAGGCAACAACTTACTCTGTCAGATGGTATAAATGGACAGGAATTAATGAAGGGTTTTATATAAAAAAGGAAGCGAGATGAGTACAACAGTTAACTCCAGTGTTCGTCCAGGTATTAACAGCTAGGCAAGGTAAGGGGAATCGAATCCATAGTCAGTGTTGAGATCACCCAGTCTGTAGGTCATGTGTTGTACCACACTTTCATGTTTAAGTTGGCATTTTTTTATTTAAGGGTAGCTACTCTGAGGTCAGTAATGGAATATCCGGGGAGGTTGAAGTGTTGTGCCACAGGCTTTTGTGTTTCTAGAATAAACGTTGAATTGGTGTCTGTTTACTTTTCTGTGTAGGGATTGCCATATCTGGTCATGTCCAATTTAGGAATGAGTGTAGACAGCAGTGTGGCACTGTAAGCAGGTGATGGTGTATATGATGTAGGTACAGCAGAAAGGGTGAATGACCCCTGCAGGTTATAATTTGTGTTTTGGTTCTGTTGGTGAAGGGACAAAACAGGCATCTAAATACAAAATACAGCTGCGAGCTGGATGCGGCATGCAAGGCCATTCTGTGTGGCCCATGGGGCCCCCCTATTAAATTTAGAAATTTAATATTTATCTGTCCTGTAAGTCAGAACAGGCAAGTCTCCCAAAACTGCCTTGAAATGGTCATTATTTTCCAGGAGAGATGGAGATCAGTAGTGACCACAGAGGGATTCTGTTTCTCTTGGCATGGGGTTGCAGTTGTAGCAAGTTGCAGTGGGGTGTGAATCTGACTGTTATTGGGTGGCTATAATTTTTGGGGTTGTGTTGTAAGTGTATGAAACTGTGTTGTAGAGCCCTAGGCTGCGCATCCTAGTCAGTGGAATCAGAACATATACTGTTTCAACATAAGAGTGTGGCTGTAGATGATGGATTTAGTAGTATGTCCAGGATGAAAACTGGTGGTGTAGAGGTAATTGTAGTAGTCATTTGTTTTTTCTGTACAGTGTGCTGGTGGTACACAGTTTCACAGTAGTGTCCAAGAAATGAATTTGGACAGAAAACTCACAGGTGCAAGCAGAGGCAGTGGCTCTGGCATTGTGACGTCCTCCAGCCATTTCCCTGGGTCTCTTAATTTGTCAGCTCTCTTACTGCTCTTCTTCCAAGGAGACCTTCCCTAGTGAACTCGCCTGGAAGCTGGCCTGTTTATTGCTTGCTGACTCCAAAGGGTTCCTTTTTTTTCCTGCTTCCTCACAGCAAGCGGAAAGTTTTGCCCCACCAAAAAGAACTGGCATAGGAATTGGCCTGCATACTGTTTACTCTCTTTGCAGCCCCTGTTCAGTTGTATGGCATGGAACATCTCAACAGCTAATTTTGAGGTGGCTGCAGCTGCTCCCCCCCCCCGTAGCTGCCTCCTAGCACCACCACCGCCTGCTCTGAGCACAGCCCCTGCCAAGAAGAGCCTGCCAGCCGGCAGCTATAGCCTGCCCGCCCCGCGCAGATCTGGTGGGCACACGCCCCCTCCCCTGCCCTCCCGGGGTGCATGCACCAGTGGGCATTTCTACCCCCCCATTCCCTACCCCGTCCCAGCTGAGTAGTGTCTGCCCCACTCCCGCTCTCACTGTGGGGGGCATTGATCCCCCCCCCCCCCCCCCCCTCCACACCCCCCCCAGCCTTCTTGGACCCCCCCCCGGGCTTACCAGCTCCATGTAGCTTATCGGAAATCACATTGGTATCGGCTGATATGCCTCCCTAAAAATCGGCTGTTGGTATTGGCCCCCAAAATCTCTATTGGTGCACCCCTAACTAGTACTTTTTAACAAGTTTTGGATTTATGATTCATGAACTAATGTATGTATGTATGTATCTTTGGTAGTAATTAATTTTTAATTGCATATTTCAGGAGAATAAAAGCAGTGGTATCGATTTTGCAAAATGACAAAACATCCACCGAATAGAAGAGGGATCAGCTTTGAGGTGGGAGCCCAGTTGGAAGCCCGGGACAGATTAAAAAACTGGTATTTTTCTTTTAAAATACTTATAAAATGTACATTATAATTCTAAGAAAACTTTTGTGATTCCTACAAAAATGGATTTTGCTGATACAGCCTTTTAAAAAAAATTCTAATTCCAAGTGTTTATGGAAACCTTGCCATTGGTTTATAAGAAATTAATTTGCTTTAAAAACCTTATATAGTTACAGTACACAAATTGTCAAGTAATAGCTATGATGTGGTAAGAGTTTTTAAGCCAAAATATTCAAGCATACTCTGACCTTGTTGTTGCTTAGAAGTATTTAAGTGACTGAATTTACAAGGCATAATAATTTAATTAGGCCTTTATTGTCTTAAAAAAAAAAAAAAAGTAATGTGATGAAATATAGGATTTAGGAATGCTTGAGCATTTTCTTAAGATCAGTGCCTTAGACTGAGATGCACACACTTCTCCCTGTCCTCATGTGCAAAGAAGGGCCACTAAGATGGTTAAGGAGACCTTTTTCTTTTGAAAGAATTTTAAAGGAGCTTGACTTCAGTTGACTAAAATGGTGATTATGGGGGGGATATAATCATGCTTTTCTTTTATGTTCCTGGGGTGAATATTAGAAAGGGTGTGGTGAGGGGCGGTTTGAGGCTGTAAAACAAGCAAAATATCATTATGGATACATTTTGGATGGCAAATCAGAAGAAGATGCCTTTGAATTGTCAGCAAAGTGAAGTTTTGGAATGGTCCTTGAAGTGAAATGGTAGGAGTATGAAGAACCTGAATTGCTTCAAGATTGAACTGGATACGTTTATGGGAGGGATGGAGTAATAGGACAGGGAGTTGTGGTTTAATCAGTATGTGTGGTATGTAGGTTCATGTTTTGCAGTTCCCAGGTTGGGGTGTAGAGTGTCTGTAGGTTGGAAGGCATCTGGTAATAACCATACTTCAGTGTTTTTACTGGTTGCCATCTGAAGCCAGGAAGGAATAATGACCCCCCCTCCCCCAAAGAATACTACTGTCTTCTGACAATTGCTTAAAATATTTCAATATAAAAACAGAAAACTATTATTTTTAAAAAACATTTATATAAATGGACATTGAAAAATAGTCAGTGCCTGCTTGTGAGACGTAATCTGAAAAGTGCCATCTGAATTCTTCTAACAAATGCAGAATTATTTGGGAAATACTTTTTGGATCACAGAACTTTCAGTGCACTTGCTTCTTCATCCAAGAGCACTTTGCATGCTGCAAAACTAGCAATGTTGCCGCCTTTCAGTTGCTTCCGCAGTTTTAATTTTCTTGTTGAGGACTTGCACCATAAAAAAAAAATGCTGATGTGAACTACACATGACCTTGAAGCTTCTAATTCAAGAAGTTTAGAAGACCAGTGATGCCGACTAAGAATGCTAAATCACACAGCCACTAAGTATCAGTCAGCTGAGGAAAATTTTGTGGTTTTTTTTTTTTCATTCAGAAATGCAACATTTCTTTCCTCAAAAGAAAAGTGTTTCAGGGTGGCACTTGTGAGATTGAAGCCGATTTGGGAGTCTTATATGTTTTCTAAAAAGGCCTTTAAACTGCTGGTGATTGAAGCTTCTCAATTTGATGAAGTTCACGTACTAACACAACGGCACTCGTGATCTGGTCCATCCTGAGAGCTTGAGCAACAATGAATAACTAAATGGTAATAAGTTATATCTGTTGAATGAACCACATAGTCTTCTTCAGTAAATTTCTGGTTTAGTAGCACCACTACTCCAATTTTAGCTCCTGATGGGGTGTCATCTGTAGTGACACCAGTGAGAGATGCCCACGTAATTCCCAAATGCACGGCACACTGCATTAAACACGTCTACTCCTCTGGTTTGGTCTTTCAGGCTTTCAAGTGAAAGGAGCCCTTCATGTATTTGAAAATCTGTAACTTCACGAATGAAAATACGGACCTGAGTGGTAACTACAACATCGGTACCATCATCTAAAGCAATTGACTTGTCATCAGTATCCTGAAGCTGTAGTGTCACATCATCACCAATGTCCTCAACTCTGCATCCCACTGTCATTTTAGGCAAGCTGACCTGACTAAATGCAAGATTTTTTTTTTTTGTTCTGGAATAACTACATCCACACCTTTCAGCGTGCAGTCTTTGAAGAACTTGTCGTCAGTAAAAGGTTTTTACCCTTTACTTTTTCATGAGCCACTACATAGTTGGCCAACACAGAAGCTTTGTTGCCTTGGACAACCTTTTAAAAATGTGACTGTTGTGCAAAAAGACCTTTCCATGATTTTCTGTTGACTACCACCAACAAACTAATTGTAAGAACTATGATTTGTATTGTAATGCTGATCTATATTGTATTCCTTCATTTCTGGTATTTTGTTTGCAAATGAAGCACAACACCTTATCATGGTGTTTTACAACAAAATAGGCTTACTCCATTTTCTCTTGGAGCATTTTTATTTTTGTCAACATCATGGTGCTTCTTGCACGACTGAATGACCCATATCTATGTAAATTAGCTATTTACTGATTCAAGGAATGTCTCTTGAGTGAAGCTCGTGCTCACCTATACTTGGGTAAGTTTGGACTGGTACCATCCCCTACCTGCTTGGAAGCCTGCTACCAAGTTTTTGCCAGCTTCTAGCAAGTAGGGATTCCCAAAGATTTACCCCCAAAGGGCCATTTCGGAAAATTGGTCTTGTGCACGATTAGTGTGATTAAAAACTCTTAATATCCTCCATGCATGCCTCATAATGCTGTGCAAGTCAGATGCCATGGCTATGGTCCACTTTTTTAAGCTTATATTTAACTGTTCAAAAAAGAAGTACTACCAGGCTTTGGGTTGTCAAAAAGGGACTTGCAGGCTGCATTTGTCCCCAAGGCCATATTTTGGGACCCCCTGCCTATAAAGTATTGGAATATATTTATTCCAGGATGGGGTGCTTTTGCCTGGGTGTACAGATCTTCCTGATGGTACTTAAAAAACCCAGAGGTTCTTGGCTAGAGGGTTTTGGTCTTCCACTCAGGGTCATATTTAACTGCTAAATTTGGAATCAGGAAGAAACTCTTTCTCTTAGGTCAGACAGTCAAGTTATGCTGTGGGATGGGGTGTCTGTCTCTGTAGTGTGGAAATGGTCCTTTTCCTGGTATTTTCTGAGCACTTGTTATCTTACTCAGTGGCTCTCAACCATTTTTGGATTCGGGATACCTCTCTAACTTTGGCAGCACCCTTATTGAGAACCACCATTTTACTGCCTCAATTTGCCCTCATGTTTCTGAACTGGGGTAATACTACTGCTGTGGCCAGGTGGAACTGCTCCATGTGCCCTGTGCAGAACCAGGTAGGGAAGGGCTGTGGTAGAAGTGTGGGCTCCTTAATCACAGGAGTACTCAGTCCTGCTGCAGCCCTACTAGGTCTGACCCTGTATGCTTCTTCTAGAAATGGCACCCAGATTGCGATCCACTGAATTAACTACTTTCCCATCTTTGAGGTGGCAGAGTGTTCATTCTTTTATTTCTTTAGGAGAGCAAAATATTCATTTTGTACTTGATTTGTTTTTTTTGCTGTCATTCTGGTTAGACCGGCTGTATTGTTTCCTCTCCAGTTAATGCCAAGCCCCATTGTCTTATGATGCTTAGTTTAATAACTTCATCTTTGTAGGCCTGCTGCATTTTAAAGTGGTAATCTTTCAACTCTTACTCCTTTAAAATATTATTTCAAAGGTGTAATTATTAGTAGGGCTGTGTGAAATGGCAGCATTCCATTTTGACCAGCCTTTCGATGTATCAATGGAACAGTGTTCTGTTTCGATTTTGTTTTGATTCGAAACAGCTGTTCTGCTCTGTCAAAACAGTTTAGCTGTTTTGACGCTATTTCAACGTTTTGCCCGTAGGTTATAACAGGGAAGCTTGAAACATCCTATAACTTTGTCATTTCTGGCCTAATTTGGTTGAAACCTGCAGGAATGGTAGCCCCTTCTGAGGGCATGAAGCCTGCCAAGTTTCAAAGAGATAGGTGCAGGGGATTCGGGGAAACTACACCCCAGAGTCTTGAAAAGCAAAGCTCATGTCACGTATATGTGTTAAGCCACAGCGGGATCAAAACTGCAGGCATGCTAGCCCCTGTGGAGGCCACAAAGCCTGCCAAGTTTCCAGGAGTTAGGTGCAGGGGTTTGGGGGAAACTGTACCTCAAGCTGGAGACGAGCAAAACTCGTGACGTGGGTGACACTGTGTTAAGGCGCAGCAGGGTGAAAGCTGCGGGCCTGCTAGCCCCTGCTGAGGCCACAACGCCTGCCAGCTGTCAAGGAGATAGGTGAAGGGGCTTCTGGGTTCTGGGGTCCTGTATCTCTAGCTGCTGACAGGTAAAACTCATGTCATGGGTGCTTATGGGACTGTGTCTGTCTTGGGGCAGAGGGGGGTGAAAACTGCAGGCCTGCCGGGCCCTGCTGCAGCCATGAAGCCTGCCAGCTGTTAAGGAGATAGGTGCAGGGGGGGTTCTTGGGCCCTGCACCCCTAGCTGCTGACAGACAGAACTCGTGACATGCTGTTTTTCCATCCCTCCTCCAGAGCCTTAGGGTTGGAAGGGACCCCAGGGAAGGATGCCAGTCACTGGTCAGCTAAGTAGTCAATAATGAAAGCACTCCTTCCCCCTTCTTCCCCCTCCCTCTCCCTACTTTAGTTTCTCTTTCCCGGCTTTCCCTGCAGGCACTGAAGGCAATTGAAGGCAAGCCCTGCTTCAGCCTCAAAAGTCGAAACGTTTCTCGAAAATTTCGAAACATTTCAATGTGTCTCATTTTGTTTTGAGCCTGTTTCGATGATTTCTGTTTTGTTTCGATTTCCCTGTTTTGATCTCGAAATGAGTTGAAACAAAACTGGTGGCGAACTTTCGCACAGCCCTAATTATTAGGTACATTTAGCAGAACATTCTTGGGGGTGTTGGCATTTGTGCCCTAGAATGGAGTAGCAACAGTATTTTTAAGGATTGATGTGGGTGATTGGGGCACTTTGCTTTTGTCTAAGGGGTGCGTCCTGAAGT